AATTCAGTAAGGTTTGTTTAGGTGTTTTTTTTTTTTTTTTTTTTGTTAAGGTTTGTTTAGGTGTAGGCTGCTGCAAACTTGGTATTTGCTTGCATAGTGTTGGGAATTTAGCAAGAGGCATCCTGGTGCTTAGAAAGCAAGAAAAGTCCTATTAATTTGGGATTTTTTTAGAATTTGATCCATTTAGATGAGGTTTATAGCCAACTAATACAGCTAATCTACTTTTTATAATATTTTTAAAGGTAACGTACATCCTGGTTAGGTTTTTTTGTTTATCATGGGGCTAGCAGAAAGACAAAAATATACACAATGTAAACTCCCCACCTGTCCAAGACAATTTTGACAATCATCTATCTTTACTGATTTATTATTTCCAGCATAATGTGATTGTGACTTTCTACAGGGAGCTAGAAAAACAATACATTTACACAGAGGTTAATCCATCATACTAAATTGTAGGTTTGATTCAGGTGGAGGTATCCGAGTGGAAGTTTTTGTCAGAGGGCAAAAACTAGGTTGATGTCCAGAAATCAGAAAGCTCAGAATACTCTGGTGAGAGGAAGGCAAGGCTTGGCATAAGGCAAAAGCAAGGTCAGGATCAGTCAATCAAGCATGGAAGACATGCTAGACGTCTACTTGTTATGATGCTTGTAAACAATCTGGCAACAGTTGCTGGTTTGAAGTCTGGTTGAATAAGCAAGGGAGCAGGTGGTAAGTATGAGCACTGATGAGAAGAGGCGGAGCTGCACAGGTGGGAAGAATCAGTGATTATGATGCCAAGAGCAGAGCTGAATGTAAACAAACCAGTTACTTTGTCAGAATCATGACAATTACAGATGAAACCAGACATTGCACATGTATCTGCCATGGATTTTTTCCAAAGACGGATGTAGGATTTAGAAGTTATGTCACATTCAAATAATACCCTTTTGCTTTTGGGAACTGCTAACTATTTTGTTCAGCAATCAATCAGGTAAATTATTACTCTTAAAAGGCAAAGTCAGTAAATGTGTCTTAGTCCAAATCAAGTATGTATTCCTCCCTCTTTCCCGGCATATATACAGAGTGTTTACAACACAAAATTTTGATACATACAGCTTTTTCAACAGTGGCAGTAAAATTAAAATTTCCATTTTTAAAGTGCAGCAGTGATCAAAATGTAAACAGTGTAGGAGAGACATGGTGCAAAAGGCATTGATGAGGAAGGTTCAGAGCAGTGCAAAAGAAAAAAAAAAACATGGTGCGGAATGCAGTATTCTATTTTCTAAGTTGAATTCTATTTAAAGGTATTTGAAAATTTGCCATGTAGTGCAAGTATTTTGTTTACAGTATGATACAGAGTCTCGATTTGTGACTTGATTAAAGTTTTCAACAGTTCAACAGTCTGATAGCAAAGAGGAAAAAGCTGTTGCAGAACCTGTTGGGCCTGCAGTGAATGCTGTAAAACGTCTTCCCATAGGGCAGCAGGGAGAACAGTCCATGGTGGGGGGTATGAGGGGTCGCTGATGATGTTACAGGCCCAGGACAAGCAGCGCTGGGATGAAATGTCTTTTATGGAGGGAACCCTGATGATCCTCTCTGCTGTTCTCACCCCTCATTTTATTCCAGTCTGAAGCATTGCAGCCTCCATACCTCACAGTATTATATCTGTTGTGGCCGTTAGGGATATTCAAAGCTGGGACTCAGTGGCGGTTTCTGGTATGGGTGTCATGGGCAGCCACCCATGGCTTATGGCTTTGCCATAAAGGGCGCAAAGGGTGACATGAAATTCCCCCTCCACTTGCATCTGCGCTCTTGCGCAGTTGTTGTTTAAGATCGACGATAAGTAGGATGAGAAGCGCCTCTCTTGGAATGTACGTGAGGGTGTACGGCTGTGACTTCTGGACAGAAGTTGTGGCTGTAGGGTTTTCACAGATTAATAGAGTATAAAAGGTGAGCCCCATTGCAGCACTGATCAACTGAGTTAACCTTATTGGGATTCTCAGTGATGTGCTGCTTCGTTTTTCATGCAACTTATTGATGGAATATAAAGCAAATATAAAATAGATTTAGAGTTCTATGTACTGTAATGATGAAGTGTCTCACAGTTAGTTGTGTTTTGCTTTAAATAAAAACCTGTATAATTGATCTAATTCATTTATCTTTATAAACCTACCCATAATCAGCAATTAGTCTATTAATAAGGCTACAGGTTACAACATAAAAGTATAAATAATCAGCCAAGAATAGCCTAATATTGAATATATTTTTATTAGTTGATTGTTTTGCATGTTATTTACATCCATCAATCTTATATTCATAACCACAAATATCCTCCTTTACAAAATTTAGACCAAATCACCTGCCTTTTCAGAGGTGACAGGAGGGCCTTTTCCCATTATGCACCATTTTAGGCTCCTCGTACTGCTGATTTAAACCTCTGAAAATAGACCCCTGCATTCAAATAGAGCGCAGACGTTTCCTCGACTCGTTTTCAGAGAATGAACTCCCAGACAGCACAGAGGAAGTGCAGACATTCACAATATAAATACAAACTTCTCAGTTGCAATCGATTAATGCAGAGAGAACAGAAGGTAGTCCTGGGGTGGAGGGGGGGCTTTCTGCGCAGTATTGAGGCATAACGCCCCCTCAAGCCCTGCTGTCTTTAGAAAACCAAGGCTGTGATATGTGTGTTTTCCTCCCTCTCTTTCTGTATTTTCATTTTGGGAGCAGAGCAGACCAGTCAGCCATGTGCTCGACTCGACTCCCTGCAACCACAGCTTTATATAACTGCAATGGGCTTTTCTAACAACCCAAGTGGACAGAAGAGCTTTTCAGCCTGGAAAAACTTCCTCCTGTAATTACTTGTCTGAGTATGAAGGCTTGTCAGGGATTTTAGATATCAAAGGTGCTTAAACACAGACGCACACACTGCAATTTCATTGTGGATTGTAATTTAACTCAGACATTTTCCGTCCATTATCTCTTATCCTTCCTCAGCAGGTTTATTCAGATTTGTTTAATTGAAATGCAAATTTGTGCTCATCCTCCCCTGTGTTCTGTGGTCTTGTGAGAAGCTACATTAAACGGCTTTAATTTGGTTCAAAGGGTTTTTATTAAGAGGGCCACTTGTGGTAATAGCTTTCTGAAATGACTTCTTTAAGTGTTGGTAACACACTATAAATATGTTTCCCCTCAGCCCTATGACTGTGCGGAAAGGAAATCGTTTAGGCATCTCCATCCAGGAGCACATGGCCATCAATGTCTGCCCAGGCCCCATCCGTCCCATTCGTCAGATCTCTGCATACTTCCCTCGCCTCTCTCCTACTTCCTCCTTCTCGGAGCCCCTGTCACCCAATCAGCTGACTGCGCCTGCACCATTAAGCCCTGGCAGCGCAGGTCAAGGTGGAGGAGCTGTTGGAGGAGGAGATGGAGAAGGAGGAGGAGGAGCAAATAGATGCCTTTTGCTACCAGGAGCTGCAGGAGGAGGGGGGTCACTGTCAGCCATGAGCAGCATGGACACCTCCATTGAGATCGACAGCTGCGACAGTGATGATAACAGTGAGTCTCCTTAGAGTGATGATCAGGTTTCATTCACAATAAACCTTGAAAATTACACTTTTTCAATTCTGTAAAGAGACAGTTTTAGATTGCAGGAGCTGGTCAATATTTATTCAATATTCCCCCACTCACCTCTCTCCAATTTCTCTCCTTCTCCTTTGCAAGTAATGAAGTTCACATAATAAAATCAATTACCTGTATAACTGGTGCACATTTCTTCTGACTTGTTGTTAACTCCCTTCCAGCCTCCCTGGGGACGTTGGAGTTTGACCTTCTGTATGAGAGAGCCACCAGCTCCTTACACTGCACAGTCCTCAAAGCAAAGGTACGGTGTCCTTGGAAAACTGCATTATGACCTCTAAACGCTGCATGTCTTGATGGACAGAAAACTAGCAAAGGCAAACCAGCAAGGGCGTAGGTTTGATCTCAACTTTGGTAGGGACACAATTGGTCTTAAGTTGAATTGGTCTGATGTCATTGGTCCTTAGCATTATGCATGCTCCCATATTTTTTATCCTTGACGTGAGCATCGGGGTGCATTTCGTTTAAAGAGAAAACAGCATTTTTTGCTACATTTATACAAATTTTATAAGCACTAAACACACAAGATGCTGTTTATCAATATTTGAAGCATCAGTGGCTCAAAATAATATAAAATTGGAACACCTTAACACTTTGAAAAGGGTTACATTTGAACTTACCAGTGACTAAGACTGAAGTTAAATATGTGCCTTTTTAACCAAATATAGTCTAAATATGTCTGTTGTACGTATATTTATGAGGTGCTATCTTTTGAAGAAATAGAATTGTGCAGAGGTAAACAGAAGTAAAACCCACTCTTATTTTTTTTCTGATATGCCGATATTCTCTGTATTGTAAAACAAAGCAAAGTAACATATTCAAGGGGCTGCAAATAGATTTATTGTATTAACATGGGCGCAGGAACTATAAGAGGAACTGACACTGATCATTTAAAATATTAACTTCAATATAAAAGTTGTGAGAAAAGAAGCGACTGCTGCACTAACGCTGTATTGTAAACTATAAATATGTTTATTGGTAGGTACAAGTAGGTCAGGCCAAAATTTTGGTAGGGACATGTCCCTATGGTCCCTGTGCAAACCTACGCCCATGCAAACCAGGTTCATTTATCTGTCTGACATGACTTATTCAAGAAACTATTAAGGCCTCGGCTTATGAAACCATCATTGTGAAACCATGCCATATGTGCACTTTTAGTTACACTAAGGTAACAGTATCTTTACAACAGGTAGGAAGGTACAGCTGATGATATTACGGCACTGATTAGATTAATGTACATTAAATGTGAGGATGTGGTGATATCTGTGAATGTGATCTAAGGGAACACCTGAAGTACAAAGCTTCCTTGTGTGACATCATCAGAAAATGGAAAATACATTAGCAAAGATATCAGTGACATGTAAGGAGTCCTGTACAGACATTTACTTAAAGGCCACTCTGAGAGTAAGAAGCGATTGCTTTAAAAAACTGGAGAAAAAGACAGATTACAGTTTTCAAACACATTCAAGTGGGTCACAGCATCATGGTGTGTGGGCGGGCTTTTCAGTGGATGCACTATGAGAACTTTACATGAAAATATTAAAGCAGCACCACAAGACATCTGCCAGCTTGGCCCAAATTGTTCCTCCAAATACCAATAATTAGTTATAAAGTGGCAAACCTAACATGTTTGACCCAAATCAAAAGGTTTTATCAAATGTAAAAAAAAGAATTAATCCTTTAAACTTGTAAGAAAAATTACACATGTATTCTGATATTAGTAAGTAACTATGGTTACTGATATAACGGGTGTTGGGAATTTTGATTTAATATTAAACAATGAGAAAAACAGATTAAGCGCAATTTATTACTACTGTACATGCTTTTACATATCTGGTTTCAGCTGCATTAAATATTTACTATATTATACACTATAATATCTCACCTCTGCAGAGCTACAGCCTGTGGACACTGGAGCTTCTCCCTACTGATCCTTCTTAATTTAAACTGGTTGGCAACACATAAAATAAATGTGAAATTCATAAACTGTTCTTTACTATGTGGTTGTCACACAAAAGATTTAGTTTTGCATTTCATGATTAACCTTTGTTTCTTTTTTTGGGGGGGTATTTTAACACAGCTAGGGAAGATAGTTTATCTTTTTTTAATAAAGTTGTTTAATAAACAACACAGGGAATATTTTAGGCTGGGAACATTTGTAATATGACAACTGAATATGACTTTTAGCCTCTTACTTTATTAGTTTTACCCTTCATAATCGGGTTCTCTTCTTATCTACAATTAAATGTTATTAAAAAAATTTAAATGAAACCCTAACTTTGCAGCCTGGATTTGGTTATAAGAAACATACTCCATTGCTGACAGTTTGCAAAGTTACTGCCCCATTTTTTTTTTTTTGTTACTGCTTTTATCTTCTCTGTTAGGGTTTGAAGCCGATGGATTTCAACGGTTTGGCTGATCCCTACGTGAAGCTGCATCTGCTGCCAGGAGCCTGCAAGGTTGGATTTTATTACCACAAGTGGTTTTTCTTTCTGTGAAATTGAACGAGACCTTCAACTTCCTGTCGTGGGGAACATTGGAGGGCACTCTCCAATCATGGTCTCATTTTAGAGTTGTATGATGAAAACACATATGAATAAATCAGCAGTAATAGAATGACCTTGGAGCCTGTGAGAGCTGGAGTTATTTTTCTGCTGTTTGCACGTTGCAACGAAAGGTAGGAGTGACATTTACTTCTCCCCTCTGTTGTGTTGGCAGGCTAATAAACTGAAAACAAAGATTGTTAGAAACACACTTAACCCAGTGTGGAACGAGACTCTCACCTACTGTGGCATCACCGAGGAGGACATGTACCGTAAAACTCTCAGGTGTGTTCTTGTTTTCTCATTCGCTTCTTTTTCAACTATTTTAGATCAGACTCACCCTTACAAAAGATTCCTTATCCTCCATCTTCATCACTGAAACTTTCCCTTTGAGTAAAAAAGTCTTTCAGAAGTTCTCAATGCTCCTTCCCTCTATCCATTGGGGCTCTTTCGTCTTCTGTCACCTCACCCTTGTTCCTTTTTATCCAAACATCTCTCCTGTCCTCTGAGATCAGAGAAGATCTCGCCTCCCTCCTTCCGAAACATCCACCTCTCTTTGTCGCTCCTTCCACCTGCCTCGTTGCTTTCTCTTTTTCAAAGTCGCACTGACAGATTGAGGTCAGACCATGCACTGCAGGGTGTTTTAATTTCATTGACCCCCCCTGGTGGCAACCAAAGCTGCGAATTGTTTCCGTCTGTGACTAAAACTTTGTCCTGGTGGACATGAGAAAGGAATTTAAAGAGGAACAGCGGGTTGTCTCTAAGGGACGATCAGAGAAAATGGGCCTTCTGACGACACTTTACACCAACTTTAGACAGTGGTGGCTTGTATATAGAGGACACCTGCTGCACTTCATTGCCATGTTGCTTACGTATGAAAGTTGAGGCTTGGATGGTCTTTTTTTTTAGCTTCATGATTTTCTTCAAAGTCTTGAAGAAAGAAGTAATCTGAAAGACAGTGCTTCTCATTTTTGGAGGGGGTGTCAGGGTACACTTAAACAAATTCAAATTGAGCACAAAAAAGCTTTTAAATCATGATTTAATTTCTTAAAAGAAAATAACCAATAATGAGCCGACCTTCTATAGCCCTATAACTAGTTGTTCCACCCTAGATAAATTCTGGTTTGGATCAGCAGTCTCTTTTGTTACTATGGTGGAACTTTACTCTTCTCTGCTTTGCCAAATCATTTTAAAATTAACCTTATAGGAGGATTTCAGTTCCAGAGTCCTGAAACCACATCTCTATAACTAGTCTAGAGTTTTTCCTTGCAATTTCAAAACCTTCCTCTCAGAGCGAGACTTGCTAATGTGATCTGGATCATTTTCTTACTGCTTAACAATTGGTTAAAAGAACTATCCTTGATTCTGAACCGGATCAGCTGTAAGCCCCGCCCCCTTACTTCTCATAGACATACATCAGACTGAACATGTGGCTTATGAGTCGTGCACAACGATTCGGAGCCCCATTTTACGTATCTAACTGTCAGACAGAAAATGTTACTAAAGCAGAAAGTGACAGACAGCAATGAAGTGCTAAGAAAAAACTGAAAGGTTATCCATCTAGAACAGGGGTGTCAAAGGCTATGTTCACACCGCAGCCTGAAGTGACCCAAATCCGATTGTTTTGCCAATATGTGACCTGGATCTGATCTTTTTATGACAGTCTGAACAACAGAGATCCAATTTTTTTCCAATGCAACCCAGGCCACTTGGCTCTGTGGTCCTGAATCCGATCCGAATCTGATCTTTTCAAATGCGACATGTATCTGAACAGCCAGGTCGCATTCATCTGACCTGAATGCCATTAATATCCGACAGTGGTCACTCTTCTGCTTCTTGCTACGCAGAAGTGGCAAGAAAAACATCAACAATGGTGGATGATGATGCGGAGAGCAGTATTTACGTTTAACCATCTTGGAAATATTGAGTTTTTAAGGTTCTGAAAGATCACTAGATGAGCTTCAGCACTACCATATATATTTACTTCCGTAAACACAGAGCATGCTGGCTTGTGACATCATTGCGTCCTCTACTGCGCTTGCGGGACACTTAGGTTGTATCAGTTCAAACAGGTGATCACATACAAGTCGCATATATTTGGTAATGTGAACGGCAACGCAAAAAAAATCTGATTTCACAAAACAATCGGAATTGAGTATCAAGGCCTGCAGTGTGAACGTAGCCAACCTGGTTCCAGAAAGGGACGTGTGTCTGCAGGTTTTCTTACCAACTGAGCAATAGCACACCAGACTCCAGTCATCTCATCAAGCCATCATGTTCAGATAGGACTCACTTGATGAGATGACTGGAGTCTGGTGTGCTATTGCCACTTTGACACCACTGGTCTAGAAGGACTACAGCCAGATGTGAGTCAAAATCATTGGTGGTGCTGGAAAGCTTTAAAAATTGGAGTGAGAATTCCCAAGATTTTGACCATTTTTTGAATCATCTATTCTCACTTTTACTCTTCTCTTAACCTGTTTTTTTGTTCTTTTATGCTCTTTAGCAGCCTGTGTATGCAGGGGCATGTATGCAGAGGTATTGCTACCTCTCTGGTGCTTCGGAACAACTGTTCTGTTTATAGATGCATGAGCTGGAGGAGCTGCTGCTTAGCAAAGTCTCAGCCCTTCGTTGTGCCAATGGAAGAGAAAAGTCGTCCCCAGTTCCAATTTATTATCAATTTTTAACTGAAAATAGTCTATGTTAGCTCATTCTCACATCAGTTAGTCAGTTCTTATTGTCAAATTATCTGTTTAATACAAAATTTGATATAGTTCTGTTTAAGTTACAAACTGATAGTCAAACATTACCCTTAAAGAATTTATGGTGTTATGGTATAAGCTCTTGAAGTAATTTTTAGAGTAAATCAGCCAATCCGGGGAAGGTCTATTATTGGTGCATATTTCCTCCATTTGTAGATGATGTGACTTGCCTAGATAACTGCTGTTTTTCTGATGTCGTAAGGTGTTAGACATTGCTTTATTATATCAATCATAAGTCTGATAGATGTAAGTTATTTTGGTTATATCCACACAGAGCAGAATAAAGTATCCACATGTAAACGTTTGAGTGAAAAGATTAAACCAGACAATGCCGGAGAAGTCTTAATAGATTTAGTTTCGAGCAATAATGGTGCCTCAAAAAAAGAAAAGGAAGAAGAGGGAAGGAAGTAAAGCAGGACATAAACATCAAATGTGGAAAAGACAAAAAGAGGTGACTGTTTAGACCAACAAAGTGGAGATCATCGCAGTCACTGTGGAGGAACAAAATGTGTTAAACTGAATAGCATCCGAAACGCAACTGGAACTCAGTAGTCTGCCATTGTTGTTGTTTGTGTAGAGAAATGTGTGTTATGGTGTGTTCAAACCAGATGCGGTGTCCACGGTTAGTAAGGTGGATTTCCTATGTAAACCATGCAGGGAGGCGGCCAACGGTGAACTACCCAAGGTGAGAGTGTTCACTGCTCCGCTCTCACCTTGTGATAATAGATAGAAATGAGCCGTTGTCAAACAGCAGCACCACAGGAAGAGAACAAAGGGCTGATCTCTGAAGTTGAAACAAGCTGTTCTAACTTTTCTATGAAATCGCAACATGGCAGCCAATCAGGGACTGGTTGTCGGTGAAGCTTTTTTCACTTAAAATGGAAAACCGTGAAAACAATGTTATAAAAGTTAGAATAGGTGGCTTAAAAAAGAACAGTTTTAATTTAGTCCCAGAAGGACAGTTATCATCCTCACTTACCCTCAGCACAGACCACAGTCTGTGGATGTCCACTGCTCAGCATCGGAGCTTTCTGCATGGGTAAATTAACAATAATGTCCCGCTAAATACGAACGTCATCCAGACCAAAGTGCACTCTTTTTTTTTGTGCTTCCGGGAGGGGTTTCAAATATTGATGATAGCCAATTCAAAAGTTGTTCATAGAGAACAATTTAGCATTATTCCATGATGTTAAGTTTCACCTGTGCTTTTGTTATGAAATGCCGACAGTGAGACCTTGGCAGGAAATGTTTTGGGGTTGTCTGGGGTAACAGCAGGTGCAAAGCGAAGGGTCTGGGAGTTTGGTGATTAACTACATATTAAACAATCATTCAACCCACTAAATAAGGTAAACATGCCCACTGTTATATTCATTACCAGCCCATGAATGACATGTGATGTTATTCAATAACTTTATATCAGGAAAGAACAAAGCACTAATGTCTGCTGCGATGGTGACGTCATCGGCCGTAATTAAAAATGATTCTTTTGTAAAAACCAAATCAGTACAAATGACTGCTTTACCTGCACAAATAAAGTAGCACTAAAAATGTCAGTTAGTTTTATTCAATTTGGGGAATAGGTGACCTCTGGGTGACCTAAAATAATTATCCTTAATGGCTCTAAAACAACAGTACCACACCTGATCCATTTTTATTTATTTATTTTATTCATTGTTATAAATTACCATTTTAAATGGACAAACCTGCACTGAAGAAGCAACAACCATTCAGTCTTTTTGCTGAGTTTTTTCATGTCAGTGGGGTGTCAGCTTCATGCAGCTGACGGACCTCCTACTTGATGCAGTCCAGGGCGCTGTGCATGCGATTATAATTTGGAAAGGATGTTTTGCTTACTTTGAGCCCCCTTTTGTGTAGAAACTTTTTTTTCACACTGCACAAACGAATAAAACCATCTTTAACTTACCACCTTTTTTTTTTTACAAAATACAAATAACAACAACATAAAAAATGCCTCTATGATTCTATTCTGCCCCCCCACCCACAAATGAATCACTTTGAATTGTCTTGCTTCTGAAATGATTATTAAAATGCTCAGTATTTTTCTGTGCACAAATGTTATTCATAGTTTGCTGCTTGCCTCTCAACATCAGTGTTATTACAGGAAATTCTCAGCAAATACATAACACATATTGCAAAGCCCTTGAGGCAGCAGTGTGCACAGCACCATGTTGTACTGCATCAATTTTAGGGTTTCCCCAGTTTAGACCAATTTAGAAGAAATAATACAGATGACCTGTTAGTGCATATGAGGTTATCCTTGCTCTGGTGCATCTGGGTCAGTGTACTGCTTCAATCTGTGGCGACTACGACTTCCGTGAAAATGTCAGTGAATGTTAAATGTCAAGGCAAAGATGGGTCATACAGCATAAAAATGACAAGAGGCAACTGGTTTCACCAGGAGGGGATAAACACCCATGTTGAAATCCTAACCTAACTTGTCAGGCTGGAGGAGAATAAACTGAAAGTACAACACAGCAAAAGTCGAATTAAATCAAATCATTTTCAAGGCTCATCTGTTCTACAATGAACTTGATACAGAATTAGTATTTTTATTGCATGTGAGTTCAGTTCTCTACCAATGTTTTGTTTTTACTTGTTCTTTATAAATTTTTTGTTAAAAAAAAAAAACAATCTAGTCCCCAGTTTTTGTTATTAAATCTACATGAATATCAATATAAGTATTTAAGGATTTAAACACACACATATTGAACCAATAGGCTTTGTCTAGTAGTAAGCACATGGCTACTTATGTATTCAGGTAGAATCAGATGAAAGGTAGTTCTATTTGTGTATTTGTGCTCATGTGCAACCCCACTGTGAAAAAAAAAATCATAAAACCTCCTGCACACTGCATTTTTCAATGGTTTTCTTTTCAAAGTAACAGTTGATCAATCACAAAAGCCATGTCCCTGAATCCATTATTACAAAATTGAGAAGGTCAGAACCTGAGCAGACTGGAAGAGGAGCTGCAGATAGATGTCTTGTTTCACTCTGCTTTAAGTGGACTACAGTACAATCACTTCTAAATTTTTCCCCTCGGTGTACAAGGGCTTTATATGTTTGTAACACATACTTGGACTTTTACCTTGTACTTTTTTGTGACTGTAGGCATTTCAGATGAGTGAGGAAAAGTGGAGGAAATAAATGATCATGGCTGTAATGTTAACCTGGCCCCTAAAGTCCAGGTAAAGGATTCAGACAGACTAGAACAGAGCTGAATGATAACAGCAGCCATCTGAACAGTCCTTCACTACACAAGAAAATGAAAGTCAGATTGTACAAGCTACAATTAGTTCCTTTAAAGCGGACCCTGAAAAAAAAAAAAACATTTTTGACGTATATATGACCAAAACGGTTATTTCAGGGGTCATGCCAGCCATTTGCCCTAAAAGCAAACACTGTGTGGTGCCCCCTACTTGGAAAAGAACCATAATACTCTATTTATTTGTAAATAACTTCTTAATAAAAATGTTTTGCTATTAATTGCAATCTTGAAAAAAAAAACATTTAACTCTTTTTGCACCAACAACGATACAAACTTCTCCACAAAAAAGATGTGGAAGTATATAGAACAGTGTTTTTTACCTACCATGGAGGAAAATTAACAAAAGCAACAGATTTTAACAGGGATGAAAAAGAGAAAATAAGTTAAGTACAGTGAATAAAATACAACAGTGTGAGGTATAATACAGAACTAGGGCTCATCCTATAAATGATGAGGATAAAGTCCTCTAAACATAGTTAATAAGTATAGATCAATCTGGAAAATGACACAAATTTATAGTTATCAATTCATCTAACAGAGAAGGCTAAGAAATCCAGAGAAAACCCTGCATGTAATGGGAGAACATTCAAAATCGAAGGTCTAATACATGAGGTTTGCTTCATGGCAGTAGTGCTATAACTGTACCACCATCCATACTAGAACCAATCATCTCAATCTTAAATCTGCTCTTAAAAAGAATGAAGTAAAGCTTCTTTAAATTCATATTTTCAGGACTTTACATTAATGTGAATAATGAATCCATAAAAGTCCTTACAACATAATATTTAATATTTATTTGATCTCTTCCTTTAAACATATTTTTATTCAACTATACTCTGCTTCAGGGCTGCTCAGTGGCGCAGTGGGTAGCACTGCTGCCTTGTAGCAAGTCGGTTGTTGGTTTGATTCCTGGCCCAGGGTCTTTCTGCATGAAGTTTACATGTTCTCTCCAGGTACTCTGGCTTCCTACCACTAACTAAAAAACATGACTGTTAAGTTAATTGGCTTCTATAAATTCTGCTATGTGCATGACTGGTCGTTTGTCTCTGTGTTGCCCTGTGATTGACTGGCGACCTGTCCAGGGTGTACCCGCCTCTCACCCATTGACAGCTGGAGACAGTGCACTCTTGCAACCCCTACTTGGGATTAAGTGTTTTAGAAAAGGGATGGATATAGTCTGCTTCATTAAAAATGTACTGATGCAGTGTACCAGATTCTGCAAAGAAATGTCTATAGCATGATCAATTTCATGTTTGAAAAAGGACACTTAATTATTTGACAATTAAGTCAACTGTTTTAAATCTACAATCTGTGCATGGTATAATAAAAGGTATTTATGGTTCAAAGTCCTTTTTAGGTTTTTGCAGAAAAAGTAATTTCGCTGGAGGCTGCAGAATGGCTTCACCTTTCTATTCTAACCGCGTTTAAATTGACCCTTGAACTCTGTGAAGTGTTAAAAGATGTGTTATTTTACTGGTCTGACATGGATTTGTAGGTTGTTGATGACATGCTGACACAATAAATCATGTTGTAGTAAATACAAGGTGCCATAAGGGACAGTAAAATGTTTGCGTGGCTTCATGCTGTAACAAGTGAACCCTAACATCCAGTTGACAAACACATTTCTTCCCCCACTTTTAACCTTCTGATCTGTTACAGTATTACTCATCACTCCATCTTCCAGTCTGCTGTGCTTATTTTCAACATCTGTGGGTGACTTAATCCTTCTTTGTTCTCATTTGCTCCTACCTACCCCCTCAATGTTTTCTTCCATTTCTCCTCATAGTTTAATATTCTATATTTTTTTTCCCATTTGATTTAGTTATCAGAATAGAGATTTTCTCTGGAGATTTCAAGCACATACTGCATAACTGAGCTGCAGTACTTTGTTTTATAACCAGAAACAAGGAAAACTGAAGGCGTGACTGCATCCTCTTTGCTTCTGAAGCTGAAAGAAGTGAGGAGACTTTCTGTCACTGAGGATTAGTTTTTATAAATAAAGATTTGAAACTCATTAGCTTTCAGTAACCTCAGGTTGGGATGCACATTAAAATTCTTTCTTCTTTCTTTAACCTTTCTTTCTCACCCGCGTCACTCTATCGTCATTAGATCTCACATCCACAACCTCCCCTTGCCTCCTTCGCTCCTGTCTGCTCCCACCCACCAACAGATCATAGCCAACATCATGGCCCTAAATATAGATTTGTTTAACCTCTCGTAATGCACTTACGCACTGCCTGTATTCCCTCTGATGGAAACGTGACAATTATCGGTAAGAGTGTGGAAAGACATCCATTGCATTACAAGAGCATTAAACTCTTGTTTCTATATTTTGTCATGTTATAATTAAACTTTTATGTATTTGATTGATATTGTATGTGATGCACCAACAGAAAGTTGTGAATAATTGTTAAACTGGAGGAAAAATCAGATGACTGCAAGAACGTTTTTCATATTTCCTGACTTCCGAACAGATTTTTTATTTTTATTTCTTTGTATGACAGGGACAGTATACATCAGAATTAGCCAAGAGACTATTTTTGATCTGTTCCTCCTGGACAGATCTTAAAATTGTTTACCTAAAAACACAACAGGAAGAATTGAACAATCCTAATATAAAAAGAAATAAAACAGAAGGGCTGAAGCAGTTAACCAGATTAATCACGATTAATTGATTATTAAAATAATCGTCAACTAATTTAGAAATCGATTAATCGTTACATGAAGTAAATAAACTGTAAACATGCCTTTAGCTGGCAGAGCAACACAATTAGAGCAGTAATTATATTACTTTTTTTTTTAAAATACATTAACATTTTGCATTTATTATAATAATAAATTCATCTGTCAATATTTTCTTACCAGAACTCCTCAAGCAGAAATATGTTAGTTTCAGCTGGTTTATTTGGTTAAGAAAATCTCCTTTAAGGAACCGTTAGATATCTGATAATAATAAAAAAAAAAAAATTAACAGTTTAAGCAGTAAACAGCCAATACAGCGTTCAATTTTAGTTTTAATAAAAGTAAAATAAAACATTAAAATAAAGACCACTAAGAATGCAGCCTATGCTACAGTCATCATTTGTTCAGATGAGCTGCTCCAGGAAGGAGGAACTCTGCACCTGCAGATGTATCTGTGCTTTAACACACCTGCCTGACTCGAATAAGAAGGTCATTAGCAGGACTGAGAACTTGACAGTTTAGGAGGTAACTCAGCCGCCTTGAGGAACCCTGGTCTTATCAAAGTCCACACCTATATTGATTAGAGAATTGGTGTCTGTACATGGAAATATACATGCACAGACATGATTCATGTACAAAGCTTATATAGCCTTTCAGATTAAGGTTAATTTGTGTTCTTTTTCATTCACCTTTAAATCCAGTATTTTTGAGGCGGTTATGTGAGTAAATCCAAAAAGCTTTGCAAATGTCAGTGAGTTTCCTGTCGGCTTCTTTTCTAATTCAGTTCAGGCTTTCATCGCTGATTTAATTCCCTTATTATATTGCTGTAGTGACTTTAAAGCATGTTATAAGATGTTGCATGTTTGAGTGCTTTACTCCCACACACGCGTAGACCACCCTTGATTGGTCTCCTTTTAAATTCATACCCCTGACTCATTACCCAGCTACGAGCTTATATTTTATTCATGCTTCGCTCACTATTTGTCATTTTTTTACCTCCCCCTACCGACTCTGTCTGTGTCCTCTAGGGTGTCTGTGTGTGACGAAGACAAGTTGACACATAATGAGTTCATCGGGGAGTCGAGGGTGGCCCTGCGCCGTGTGAAGCCTGACCAGACCAAACACTTTAACATCTGTCTGGAGCATCCACCTCCTGTGAGGAAGAGAGAGAGAATAAAACAGGAGGATGAGGAGGCATGGGAAAACAGCAAATTGGAAAATAAATGTGCGAGAGGGAGGGAAATGACTGGAGGGAAGTGTATTGGTCGGTGCTCTAATGCTTTCTTTATGACTCACGAGTGCAGCATTTTGAGTGAAGACAGACCGACATGGAGGAGATGGGGTGACCTGAAAAAGTAGATATTATTTCTCAGCCATTAGGGAGGCCTCTAAACATCGATATTTATCAGCCCACTGAAATGCTTACCTCTCATTTGTGTCCCATTTATGAAGTGTTTTTTAAGAAAATGTTTCCAGAAAGCAGTCATCCTTAAATACCTCACGTTATTCAAAATGTGACCTGTGGAGATAATTACTTGTTTATCTACACAGGATTATTTTTATGCTTCCACAATAAATCAAGATATAGTGCATCACACCTGAATTAAATAACAGGCTCATAAGCAGGCATCTGCAGAGCAGAATGACATGCTAATGAGGAAATACAAGCAATTGATTCAAATGTGTTGGTGGAGGGACGCAAATAAAAGCTGCAGCAAAGCAGCCCTTAAGGACTGAACTTTGGGCACCCTGGATATACTTAAATATCCCTTTCAATTTGTGTTAGAAAACACATAGAGACAAAAATAATTACATATGGGAATTTGTTTACTTTGGTCCAAAAGCTGCAACTAAAGCAATGTTTTTAATTAGCTCTCAGTCCCTCTCAGTGATTATCGTCCAGGCGAACTGACTTTTTCTTTTCATTCCCTCAAGTAAACAATAATTTTTTGTTTCATATTTAGAAAACTTATTTTTTGAAATGCAGAGTTATTTGTGCTTTCATCCAACAGTGAAAAAGCACTCTATCTCTTCTGTGAACAAAAGAAAATCCACAAAGCTGATTTTCATTGAAAACTTTGATATATGATTTAAAAAGATTTATCCTAGACAAAAGGAACTTTCCCTACCTACCAATCAGAATTATTTAAGCCTACAAATTTGTTTGGGCAGCAAACCCACTGAGAAACCAGCAAGCTGTGGACTAACTAACTAAGTTCTCATACTTAACTCAAAATCCAAAACATTCATGTTATGTTTGAATCACTTTGAAATGCAAAAGACAGATTTGATGTTTACAAAACACCTGCTCTACAGCTATGTAACTCTACGCTGTTAAATCTGTGATATTTGCTAACTATAAGTATAACTATGATCTCACATAACATTTATAACATATAACATAGTAACATAATCAGCAAAGCCAAACGAATAAGTGCATTCCTGCAACACTGCTGCTTTTTTAGCATGAGGACATAAGTTGGAGTCCTGCTTAAAAAAAAGAAAAAACTGCAACAGGCATACATAAAGAAGCAAGAGATGGACTGAATTATTCAACACAGAATTCAAGTCAACGCTATAGTTAATTTATTCCCTTTAGAATAAATCAGCAACGCTGCAAATGGCCCCTATTTAAGAATATGCTAATTTGATTGAATGATCCTTTTTCAACAAAAAAACAGCTAGGTTCATACATTGCCTGTTTTATTAAGGCATTTTAAACAATTTCTTGACAGAAAAATAAGGGTTAAAAAAAGTGAAAAAGGTTACTGAATACGTTAATGCTTAACATTTGGCTCTGACTATATTTAAATACATACACAGAGCATTTTTAATTGAAGTTCAAAGTTTCTACAGACAAATTTAAATTTGATTTTAATCAAAAACGCTTAAAACATTTTTTATTTAATATATTTAAAACCACAATGCAAAAGAAAAGCAGCAACTTTTGAGATATTCTGTGTTTTTTCTATTTGATTTGCTTCTACTAGTTATATTGACCCAAAAACATGGTTTCACCCCCACAAAACTGCAAACAGAAACAGAATTATGTCTGCTCCTATTGCAGACAAATAGCTTTTTGTGCAGCCCAAATGTCAGCCAGGTCACGTGTGTGAAATGAGCGCTGTGAGATCAGAAAAATGAAAGGTGAAGAGGAACTGTGAGAGGCGAAGGGGGGTCGTCCGAGATTCAGTAGACACCGAGAGAGATGAGAAACAAATGGATTAAAAAAATAAAGGGGGTAGCAGGGGGGCTGGTGTGTGAAAAGAAGTGGGATGGTGCTGGGGTTTTGTTCTTCATGTGATCGAAAGCTCTGCTGGTATTAGATTATCCCTCTGAGGCTGGTGGCCACTCTGCGATCAAACAGTAAAGCCCTTCTGTCATCCTACGAGCCAGACGCAGTTTCAGCCCTCTAACTTTTAAAAGTGGCTTTGCCTCCAGTGTGATAGATCTGTCCCTGTCTCCTCATCCTTATGTTTCTTCTCTGTCACTCATTCCATCCTAACATTTACCTTCTTCTCTTGCTCTCTGGTCTCCTCTGCCCCCAGCTGCCTTCGCCGACGGCGATGAGCACAGCCCTGAGAGGAATCTCCTGCTACCTTAGAGAGGTGAAACATTTTGCTGAACCTCCTGTTCCTTTGCTTAGTTGTGTTGCTTCTCATTTCTGCTTTTAAACTTGTCTTAAAGAAAATACTTTGCATAAATAATTATAGAGTTTAGGCCTTGATTCCTCTGTTTTGAGTACATTTGCTCTCCTGTGACAAAAATTTGGTTTCATGCTCAGCATTTGTTCTATAAGCATCTATTCCCTAGATATCTGCCAGCTGTACAAAGATCCTTCAAACAGCAGCAAAGAGAATAAGTTACCAAAACCTTTACCAGATTAATGAAAGTCATTTTAAAAACAGCTATTTTGCAGGGAAGCTCCTGAACTGCAAAATTTCAAACCTTACATTTATAAGAATCTATCCGTAAACAGTCCAAGATTTAAAATATTGAAATGCAATTTCACACTAATGAATTATTAACGAGTTAACATCCACTGACTCTACATGTTTGCCTTTCTAACAGGGCATGAAATAATCCAGTTATTAGTTAATAGTAATGATCATTTCTGAGACTTTTCTCGATAAAACAGATAAATCAATATAAACTGTGCTGTTTTAAACTAGTCAACCAATTACTTTCAGGGTAAACTTTAAAAAGAACTACCACAAAAGTTTTCATTTCTTTAATAGTATTTATTTATTAATTTTTTTTTATTTACTTATTTTTTTTTATAAAAAAAAATAGTATTTATTTATAAGGTTTTAAATGCATCTTTCCTTCCCCCCTTCACTCCTATACTCCGAAAAACAGCCAGCCTTCTTCTGAAGTCATCTTTGCTGTAGTCAGGGCCCCTTAAAGTCCGATTTCTGCACCATTTAGATACATTTCTGCTTTAACACAACTGAGTCAAGTAATCGGGTCATTAGCAAGACCCTGGTGAAGTTGGTTTCATGCTGAGGAGATAGTTTATTCATTTGTTCAGATGTGTGGAGGCAGGACACGGTACCTAGATGGTAGGAATTTAGGAAGCCTGCAATAGAGTCCATCTGCCTGAGTTGCTTTTCTTCAGATGGACATATAGGCTGGTTAGGGATGAGGAGGAAATGGATGGAATGGACAAAAATGTCTAGATGTGCAGAGATGGTGCAGTAAAAGACTTGCAGAAATGATTGTATTATTCACATGCCTGCGGTTGTTATTTGGGGATTTCTGTTTAGGTTGATGTTAAACAACATAAGATTTAAAATTGGGGCCACATTAATCTGTTTTTCCAAATGTCTCATAAAATTAGCAAAGATGTCACAAATGTAAATGGTTTGTTGCTGTTTTAAATGTTGGGTCCTTTTAGAAAGCAGTGGATATAAGCAGCCCTCCAGATAAACCAGCAGCAGCATAAAGATGTCAAAACAAGCCAAGCATGAGACCTTAGGAGGAGCGAGCCAAGAGAGCGAGCAGCTAGTGACGGGACAAATGCTGAAGTGAGGAAATATCTCCCAGCAAAAAAAATGTTTGAACTTCAAATATGAACAACAGGAAAAAAAATATTAACTGCTTATTGACTCTAAAACCAGACAACTTTAAAAAAAAGAAAAAGAAAAGCTTTTTTTCTCTGTCTGATGTTAAGTTTTCCTCTTTTTTGTTAGTTAATATGAAACCATATATATATATATATATATATATATATATACACTTTATTTTAAAACAATAAAGGAGATTTTTTTTTCAAATGTTTCTTTCTATTAACTTTCCTCCAATGTGTGATTTAACATGCAATGTTTTGGACAATTTGCCAGAGAAAGGCAAGGCAAGGCAAATTTATTTGTATAGCACAATTCAGTACAAAGACAATGCAAAGTGCTTTACATGATTAAAATACAGGAAAATAAAACAGAATCAAAGCAAGTAGGAAAAAATAAAAAAATAAATAAAATAAAATAAAAAATGCAGAAACAAAAAAGAATATTAAAAATAGCTGGACTAAAGAAAATAAAAAAGTTGAACTTATTGAAAGTTATGTGTTAGGAAAACATTGGGTTTTCTTCCACAGGCTTCACACAATAGTTTGATGGTACTATGACCCATTACTTCTGGGCCATAGTACCATGTAACCATGAGTCCTTGAGTCAAAACAAGTCCTTATGTCAAAAAAAAAAAAAAAAATTATTAAACAACAAGACATGTCTCCTTAAATTGGGGTCTTTGTCATTGAGTGCATTTTTAAACTAGTATTTGGCTTTTTATGTTGTTTTTAGGCAACACTATGCAACAGTTGCTATGCAGAAGAAGGACTTTGGCTAAAACTGGGATTTGTATAATCTCCCAATGCATTTTTGGATTATTTCTTCTCACTGTCTTAAACAAAACTGTCTTAGCTTAATTGGTCGTTCTTAATTGTCCTCAGCTAGATAGTTTTCTGGGTGTCTTTGTGTTGTCCTCTGATGGACCAGTCCAGGGTTCACCCCACATGAGTAGATCAATGTTGCTTTTGGAAAAATGGCTTCTTCCTCTCTGAGTGGCTTTTCAGTCCATGTCGGTCCAGGACTCGTTTAAAAGGGAAAAGGACTCCCATGATCCAGGGGAAACGGAACCTTTCTTAATAGTGTTATAAGACCATCCCATGGTTTGTACCTTTATATAATCCTCTAAACATCTGAAAATGAATCTGTGCACTGAAGCTTCAAGCTTAAATAATGAGGTCCATAGTTATTGTTCTTAGATCTCTGGGGATTGATTTTGCACTGTGTATAAGATGTCATCTTAAGATACATCTAAAAGCACCAGAGGTTCTAGACTGGGGTTAGTGCCCATTTAGCATGATCTTGGCCCCTATTATGAAGACATAATGCTTAATACATTTGTGATGATGGAATGCATCAGCACCTAAACCATAACTGATTGGTCTTTTTTTTTTTTTTTACATTTACAGCTTTATTTCAGCAATAAGAAAATCTTACTCAACAGACAGTGAAAAATAAGCTTTTTTTATATAGTTGTGTGTTAATTAATTTATTTTGTCAGGCAGCACAATGAGAACCGTTTCCAGCAAGTCAGAGGTTTAATGCAACCAGCTGTTTTCTGTTTTGATAGAGACTTTGAACCAATCTAACTGTATAGTCTTTGTAAAGTGCCTTGATATGACCTGAGTTGTGAATTGGCGCTAAATGAATAAACTGAATTAAAAAGAATTGATATCCAGGACTGTCCAACTGTCAAAAATATGGGAAAGAAAAACCTAAATACTTTGCATTTTCAGCATGATATCAACACTTTGAGAGACAGTCAGAGGTGTCAAGTAAAAAATAACTTTTACTTACTTAGTACTCACTAATACTTTTTTACCTTAAGTAGAAATGTTAGCTATCTATATTTAACTGGAGTAATTATTTTTTTAGATCACTTATTAATTCTACTCCTTACATTGTTTTTTTTGCTACTCCTCACATTGTAAAAATACACTCATTAGTTTTGTTTCATTTAAGCACATTTTCATTATGGCCTGTTGGTATTTGAAAAAAATAAAACCATCTTTATAATATGTTTCACAGAGACAATTAAATTATTTGTCGTTGGACTTGGTGCAGCACCAATTTGTTGTTCGCTACGTACAAAAATAAATCGTTTTACAAGATGATGCCAAATTAACTTTGACACTGTTGCCATTACTTACACAACTAAGAAAATAACGATTAGGAAATTTTCACCGAATTGAAGAAAATGTTCCTTTAATTGGGTAGTAAAATAAACAGTATATAAAGCTTCAGTCTATAACATTTTTTCCTGCATTCCTTTTATTTCTATACTTGAAGTACTTTTAAAAATTGTACTTTAACACTTTTACTTGAGTAAAAAGCTTAGGTCAATACTCTAACTTCTATAAAAGTGTTTAAAACCTACATACTTCTACTTGAGTAATAGACATTAATACTTTTGTGACCTCTGCTTAGAATTAACCTCTAAAAATACATTTATACCGCTTAACAGTAAGAAATCATCATTCTTTTTTTTTTTTTTTTTGTTATAAAACCTTAAAAGTTGTATTCATATAGAAAGGGAACAATAGTGGAATCTTTCCATTGGCAAAAACACATCTTAGACCAACTGAGGGATCAGCTTTTTAGGTTTTTTTTTTTAAGCACTTTATGCCTCCTGGCTTTAGTATTTTCTATGGATAACACCAAGCTGTTATCAAAGCGTTTGACAACACATGTACCAACAGGGGCAGATTCAAAGTGACAGATAAAAGAAAGAGGCAGAAACAGAGAGAGAAGAAGGAAGGATGTTCTTTCAGACCCATGACTCACTCTCCTATAGCCTTCAGCACACATACATGTATGTTATTTATAGAAGAGATGTATATTTTGCTCTTTAAGTATCTGAATCCTTTTAAGAGCACAGTTTCTACCCACTATCTCTGCTATTTCCTCTGTGATATCACAACCGTCTCCGATTTGTATCTCTAAATCTCTCATTAAGTCTTATCTTTAAGGTTTGAGGTAGTCAGCCTAAGCGATCAATATGCAACATGTCCATGTTGCCAAATCGCTTTTTTGATTGTCCCCACAGACCGCTGATTTCCTCGTCCTAATTTATTCTTTGTTTCTGAGGAAGTTAACACTACTGCCAGCTGTCCCTTTGCCATCTGTCAACTCTCAATGAGCTGCAGGCTTAAAGAACTCGCAATTAGAGGATGACTTGCACCAGGTAGCTGGTAGTACAATGGAACAGACCTTCACAGATCGATAGAGAGCAACTCATTAGCCGGGTGAAAAATAAACAGGTAGCCAGCTGTAAACAGTGAGAAACAGACAGGAAGGAGGGTTAATTTATTGGGTGCGGTTGCAAGACAGGAAAACATGGTGAGACACTCGGCAGATAAATGAGGCAACCTTGAATCTGGTGAAAATTTTAAAGTTTAACTTCAGTCTGACTAATGAACCTGACCGGGACTCTACAGTGCTTTTGAATGGATTTACCGTAGTCATTAAATCTAACAGTGACCGACTTTCCTACATTTGATCAGCTGCTCTTGTTCAATCTAAAAAACTCACACGAAGAGAAAAGACAATTAGGAGAAATTTATTGATACAATTACTTTGTCTTTGGTACTCAAACCTCGGCAGGAAACAAAGCGCTTAATTTTGATAGACATGCATAAACAGGAGCAAAGGCTCCCAGGCCTGAAACTGGTGGTGGAGTGGAGATAGATGAAGTTGGTCAGTCTGTAGACTGGTGGATAGCGAGACAGTATGCTGAGCTTAATGGAGAGATCCAGTGGACTGCGTGAGCTGATACTAGAGCTTCACTCAGGGACCTGGAAGATGGAAGTCCAGTTGGATAACACAGGGTGAGAGAATCTGTATATGATGAGCAAGCATGAAGCGACAGTGGAGAGGAAAAACTCCCCATTGGGACGAAACCTCTGGCAGAATCAGGCTTAACATGGCGGTCTTCTGCCGGACCGGTTGAGATGAGACAGGGAACGCAGTAAGAGTCCGGGAGGAATGACACTCTGATGAAGCTTTAGCTACGGTGGTGGAGGAGGGGCTGGAGGTGGGTTGAAGCGGTGTCATCTGAATGAAGTCACAGAGCGCATCCACCACCTGCCACAGGAGCAGACAAGAGAGGATCAGAGGCCTTTTAAGATGAACTTTGGATGCTGATTGGAATTCGTGGAGGTGTGGTTCAAAGTTGATCGGCTGTGTCGCAGGTGGATGTATGAAAAACAAGGAGTTTCTTCAGTTGAACTTCCGCCTAGGCTCTATTTCGTATCAAGATTTATCCTCTAATTTCATCATGAATAAAAATAAATAAATAAATCTACATCATTGTTGACAGTGATACAGGTTGTCCTGCATCTTTTGGTTTTGGAGGTTTGACTTTTGGTTCTTTTGAAGTGGTGCAGCGGTTTTGAGACTTGGACATAAACTAACTCTTTTAACCACACAAGCATCCAAAAAAATTACTGAAAACAAGTTTAGGAATGGATAACGTTAGTTGCAACCTTTGCAAACCCGCTGCACAAAAGACAACCATCAGATTAAGAGAAATTTTAAACGTTTCCCCTATATAAGTCTTTAAACATCTAGTCAGACATGTGTCAGTGGCTTTCTGCCAGCTACAAAATCCACAAATAAAATCAACTTGCGCAACCAGTGCTTGTTTCAAAAAAGATCCCATCTGCATGTTAAATAATTAAACCCTGTTATGCAAACAGTTGAAATTACTCAATAAAAAGCTAACGTTTAAAAGAGTTTCATAGCCATGTATGTATGTGAGCATATCAGGAAAACCTGTACTCTCTCAGCTCGCTAATCTTGTCCTTGTTGTGTCTTTCTGTTTCCATCCAATCCTCTCCTCCTGCAGTGGGAGACGGAGCAGCAGAGAAGTCTGGAGGAGAGGGGCCGTTTGCTGCTCTGCCTCCAGTACCTCCCCCCGAACGGTGACAGCGAATTGAAGGGCGAGGCCAAGGAGAGAGCTCGGGGAGGGCTATGCGTGGGCGTCAAACGCTGTGCCCACTTGGCAGCCATGGATGTCAATGGCTTCTCAGACCCCTACGTTAAAACGTAAGTCTTACATTTCACGTCTCGTTAAATTGGTTATTCAAGACTTTGTAGGCCCAACTGTCCTTGACCTTTACTCAAGGAGCTTCATTTGTGTAAAAAATCCAACATGCATCATCTAAAATGCTTTACTGATGTTAATAAAAATTTAACAGAACATTTAGTTCTGATCCTAGTTTAGATTTATATTCCCTCTCAGATCTCTGTCATGATGAGCTGTTGGCTGGGAAGAAACCCAGAAGCCTTTTTTTCTCTCAGTGACAGTCCAGCCCAGTCATCTGGCTCACCATTTGGTATATGTCAGGTCTTTACACTTACCCAACTCAGCGCAACATGTTCATGAACTGACTTTTTAATGTCTCAAAAACCAGACAGCTACTAAAGGAGATCCACTTTGTTACAAAATAAAAGACAACATTTACTCCATCCCTGATGGTCACACTTTTTTTCCCATCTGGAAGCTATTCAAAATGCAGGGGAGCATTTTAACAATAGCTCTTTCGGGTTTTAATATAGCTTCCTGGATCCATATGGCTAAGAGAAAATGTTGGTACACTGAGTCCAAATCAGATTTATTTGGATTATTTAACTTTAGCAGCTTGTATACTCATAATTGCATAAACAAATCAAACAAGAATTATATGGATAGTGAGACATACTTGATAGTGCAAGTAAATTAAGATGAATTAACCATCATTAGCATCGTTAGTATTTAGTTAAGCATCCTTTTGCTGTTCTGACCTCCTGGACACAGGATATATAGCCAAGCTTCTGTCAGGATTCCTGCGGAATTCCTTAGACTTAGAGAGATTTATTTTTGTTATTTTGTATACACGAGTGTATATAAAAAGTCATTTTGTTTAAAACAGCTCTAGAAAGTTTCATTGATTGGCTAATAAGTGGACATGGGAGGCATGTGCCACTTAATTTACCCAATCAGCTCAAAGAACTCTACTGAATGTCCCTCCCTTTTTTTTTTTTTACTTTTCCTATAAGCAGTCTTTAAGAGGAAAACTGTGTAGAATTGAACTACACGTATCAGTCTGGTTTATACCAGGTTCATACTAAACCGCTACGGATTAGGAAAAGGATGTTACTTAAAGGTATAGAGGATGATCTTTTATTTCTGGGTGGATCATCTAAATAAGTGGACCTCCTAATTGTCAATCATTCTGGTGATATGTTTATGTAAGGTGGTCCTACGTGCTTTTCCCATTAGCTATCTTTTTCTGCACATGCGCACTTCCAGACGTATATGTGTGGCGAGCTTTGGTTTCAGACAGTCATTGAAGCTCACCTTTTTCACCTTGGTTCTTTGAAAATGACAGAGGGTCATTAGAGAAAGAGTGTCTACGAAGAAAGGCCTCAGAGGAGGCAGATATATCCCGAAACGCTTCCTCGCAAAGCGTTATGGGTTTTGCTGCAGCTACCTGACAGAGGTGACAACAGATAACAAAGATGGCGCAGGCACCGCATGGGAGTTACGTGACCAACGGGGAGCAAAAAGTAGTGATCATCTGTCCAAACCGTAAGTTAACTGAGATTACAAAAAAGTCCACCATATAGTCCCCGTTGTGTACCTGGATTTAGGGATTTAGGGGTTAGGTTGGACTATGAGAACAGCAACTTTTAAACAGAGTGTGCACGAGGAGAAATGAGCTTGTGCATGCTCTTGCACACTTGGAGAGAGGTCGGGCCTTTTAAAGGATTCGCAAAAAATCCTCCACAATACCTTTAAGCTCATATGTGAGTCCAGACAGGTGAGCAAATACTTTTGGCGATTTACTGTAGTGTGTTTTTCTGAGCTGAGCTTTATCAAGCACAGCTGATGCAACTAATGAAGCCCTCAGTTAGTTGCATCAGAGGTACCTGAGACCACAGCAAATAGTTGCTCTTATGAGGACTTCAGAGGTGGTAATGGGAGTAGTATGATTTAGCGATGAATTTGCATTATATCCTTTTAATAATTGTGTTATTTTAAAACGGATTCAATAATAAATACAAAATAATAAAACTAATACATCTAATATTGTGTAGGTTTGTAGGTTATAGGGAAAAAATACTACATCCCTCAAGTCGTCTAGTTTTTGTGGTTCTAAATCTAAACTCTTTTGCCCCGCTGCAGCTCTAGGTGGTAAATACAAGACATCCGCCTTAGATTGATTTACTGACAGTTCACACCTATTTTGGGATGACCCTGCTCCAGTTTATCACTGCCATACCTGTTTGGTCTTATGAGGCTCCTTCTTGAGTGATAGATGGTTTGAGTTAATTCCACAGAGAGGAACGGTAACAATCTTCCATTGCATATGTGGAAGCCAATTCAAGTCAATGTAATCAAAATGTGTCAGTGTTGAGAAGGTGAAGAATGTTCTAATACAGACCACAGCTCACAAAATGTCATGTTCGGGGTGTATTTTACTCCAGAAGGAAAAGCAAGATGGGGAGAATTGGATTATGTTGTTGTTGTTGGTGTCATAAGGTCGTCTGGAATTTCATTACTCACTGAGGACAGACAAACATTAGCGCGGGTCGCTGTCTGTGTGTCAGTGGCTCGACCAGGAAGGGCAGGAAGGTCCTTCAGTTGAATTATCCAACTTGACAGAATGTGAATAAATGAGTTGTAAAATCTCCCTGTGTGTTCACTGACTGGTGAGGCTGCTAATGTCATGTGTGGAAGAATTTAAAAGAACATCCATAGAACGCTGCAAAAATAGTTTGGCTTTAACCTAAATAGATTTTTTTTTTTAAACAAAAATGTTTTAATTTCATATTTAAACCAAAAGAAAAGGAGATGCTGATCGAAGTCGCATTAAACTTAATCTTCTTTTAGTTGCATAAACTATTGAGACTTGTGCATTTTTATGCTTTGGCACAAGCCTAGCGAAAATTACCAATAACATTTTAAATGAGGCTCATGTTACTAGTCTAAAAGCTAAGAAAGGGATTCCAAAACTTTTATTGCTGGGCTGCGCTTTCTTTTACGAGAAATTTTTTACTTTATTTCTGCTTCTAAATATTTTCTCCCTGCAAATATATCAAAACTTCAACTAAATAAGTCATTTGGCTTAGAAAAGCTTTCTAAAATATAACAACCTGAAAAGCATTTAGAAATCTGCTTCCATGGATTCCTAGTTGCATGTAATCTCTGTGACATCTTGCAACTCAGGATCACAATGTATCCATGCTCACATTATTGTTTTCTCTCTATGCTTCTAACATCAAGTTTTCTCATCATCTTAACATCACCCAAACCCACTCATCCTTCTCTCAGCAATCTTATTCGCTGAGCATCACATCCTGCACCTGCTATCGTTTTGGATGCATGCTCACATCCTTGCCCTTTGGTGGGAGCTTCTTCCCAGATGCTTTGTTGTGTCTGAGAGCGTGTGGGAACATACGCATTCTGAGATGTGGGTGGTGGGTGGAGAGCAAATGCGAATAGTGATTTTGCCACTCTGCTTCCAGCTGGCTTAAAAATAACCTGTGAATTTAACGACCGCCTGCAAAGCAGTGCTGAGCTGGAGTCAGTGCTGTAATCCTGATCCATCCTCACACTGTTTTTTGTTTACATTTAAGAGGTAATGCTTTTCTAACACTAAAAGTGCTAAAAAAAAAATTGTGTTTTTCATATGTTTTTTTTTGTGTGTGTTCTTTTAAGCGTCCGATAAGGACGCGTCTGTAGCTTAAGACAGTAGGGCCAAATACACACTGCCTGAAAATGATTCTTAAACAATGATTGCCATGAGTAAAAATAACACGGTAACCATATCTAAGAAAAGTTTTTTACTTCTCTCCAAAGTATTTTAAAGCACATGTTTATATAATTTAATTATTTTACACCTATTAATATTTGGTTTTGTCATTTTGATACATAGGCATAGAATAGAATAAAATAGAATTCAATTTTGTTGTCATTGCACTGTCAAAATTACAAAGCAACAAAATATAGTTTGGATCTATCCAGAAGTATAAATATTTATTTACATGTGCACAGATTCTATGTATGCATTGACTATAAATGGTATATATAAGCAGAGTTTTTGCAAGAAGCTATAAATAAATACGTCAACCATATACAGATTACGGTATATAGGAAAGTTAGGATATGGATTATATACACTACCTTTCAAAAGTTTGGGGGTCACATTGAAATGTCCTTATTTTTTAAGGAAAAGCACTGTACGTCTTTAATGAAGATAACTTTAAACTAGTCTTAACTTTAAAGAAATACACTCTATACATTGCTAATGTATGGTAAATGACTATTCTAGCTGCAAATGTCTGGTTATTGGTGCAATATCTACATATTTATGTATTTATTTTCTTGCTCAGTTGTGCAACGCAGCCTCCCGCTTCTTTTTCTTCTCTGGTTAGAGCCTGTTTGTTCTGTCCTCTGAAGGAAGTAGTACACACCGTTGTCGGAAATCTTCAATTTCTTAGCAATTTCTCGCATGGAATAGCCTTTATTTCTAAGAACAAGAATAGACTGTCGAGTTTCAGATGAAAGTTCTCTTTTTCTGGCCATTTTAACGTTTAATTGACCCCACAAATGTGATATTCCAGAAACTCAATCTGCTTAAAGGAAGGTCAGTTTTGTAGCTTCTGTAACGAGCTAAACTGTTTTCATTCTTCTAATCATCAATTAGCCTTCTGAGCCAATGAGCAAACACATTGTACCATTAGAACACTGGACTGATAGTTGCTGGAAATGGGCCTCTATACACCTATGTAGATATTGCACCAAAAACCAGACATTTGCAGCTAGAATAGTCATTTACCACATTAGTAATGTATAGAGTGTATTTCTTTAAAGTTAAGACTAGTTTAAAGTTATCTTTATTGAAAAGTACAGTGCTTTACCTTAAAAAATAAGGAAATTTCAATGTGACCCCAAACTTTTGAACAGTAGTGTATATATATTTGTAGGGTTATAATACATGGTAAATAATGACAGATAATAGCAGATAAAAGATTTACTGATTATATATAGCTATGATTGAGTATGTGTAAGTGCTGTTAGATCCCTGGATGTCTGTGTGAGGACAGTTCATATGTTATTTTTGTGTGTTGGGTTTGTGTTTTGGGGGTGTACAGTCCTTATAGTTGGTGTCACTAGGCGTTCAGGAGTCTGACAGCTGTGGGGAAGAAGCTGTTTCGATGCATGGTGGTTCTAGTCAGTAGGCTTCAGTAATGCCTCCTAGGGTTCAGGTGTGAGAAGAATGTTTGTGCAGGGTGAGTGGAGTTTTTGGGGACTTTCCTTGCCCTTTTCAGACACCGCTTCCTGTAGATGTCCGTGATGGCAGGGAGCGGTGCCCAGGCGATGCGCTGGGCAGTTCTCACCACCCTCTGTAACGCCTTCCGGTCCGAGGCAGAGCAGTTCCCTTACCAAACTTTGATTCAGTTGGTGAGGATGCTCTCACTGGTGCAGCAGTATTAAACTATTAAATAATAATAAAATAAATAAATAATATGTTCTAATTTATTTGAATTAATTATTACTCAGGTTATTATGCCTTTCTACTGATCAGGTCCTTAGGGAGTTTTGCTGCGACCTTCTCAGCAAAACAGACACCTGCTTATGTTACAACTATAGTTTAAAAACCAGCATCTTTTTAAATGCTTTTAATGTTTTCACACAATGATTGTGTTTGTTTATGTTCTACACAGTCCATGGGCCAACATGAACACTTGAATGGAAAATAAAACTCATTCTGATCTCATCAATTTGACTATATAATCTGGTGAACTGTAAAGTGCCTTGAGATGACATGTGTTGTGAATTAGCACTCTTTAAATAAACTGAATTTAATTGAATCTCTTACCAAAATCGTTCAGGAAAAAAAAAAACATGTTGTTTGTTAGAATCCTGATAATAACCAAATTATGTCCTTTTGATATATGTAAACATTCATCCAAATAAATATATTTTCCATCCTTTCATTTATTGAATAATGATTAATACTTAGATCAGCACTTTTTCATCCTCCATTCTTATGTCCTCCAATGATTTGATTTTAAGGAAGTTAACCATTGATGATGTTCAGTGTTAATAAAATATTGATTCTTAACACATTAGCAAACAAAACTGTAAATTGTGTAAATTAAATACATTTCTGTTGTTTTTTCAGTTACTTAGCTTCGACCGGAGGGATGTAAAAAGGAGTTTCTCTGTGCTTTACCTTTTGTCTCTTAACAACAACAAAAAATCTGGCATCTAAAAAAAAATTAAACAATTTTAAGTGTTAAGCCCATTGCTTATCTTTTTCAATTCAACCCTAAAATGAGTGTTGTTAAATTAAAGATGAGCCATATTTTTTCGATGTTCTCTGGAAATCCATCATTGTTCAGTTTAAAGTTGCCAAAATATCTGATCTCTACTCAGGAGTGGCTACATTTAAGCTCATTTGTGCACTGAACCGGTCCAGAAATAAAAACAGATCATTTTATTTCAAAAATACCAGATTAAAACAAGACAAGATTATTAAATCTAAAATTTGATATAAAAATAAAATTTCTATAGAGACGCTCATCCCAGAAGAAGTTATTCAGGATAAAATGCAGGAGAGAAGAAAATTAGCTAGACAATGTTAATTATTTTATGTTTCCCCACATTGACCTTTATTCCTGGCATTTGTTGTTTTTTTTTTTGCATCTGCTCACTTTCATGTTGAATCAAAAGGGTCAGACATGACAGAGTCCCACGTGTCTGTTTCAGGTACCTGAAGCCAGATGTTCAGAAGAAATCCAAACACAAAACAGCAGTGATAAAAAAGACCCTGAACCCAGAGTTTAACGAGGTAATGTCTATGTCTGTTTAGTATATGTCAAACTGGATGCAAAGTTTGGTTGTTGCATAAAAAAAACCTCTAAAGTTTTTTTTCTCCTATCATCTTCCACCTAACTAGATAATATTTGGTGACCTTCTGACCTTCTTTATACCCCCCAGGAGTTCTTCTATGAAATCACCTTCTCAGAGTTAGCCTCTAAGACACTGGAGGTCACAGTGTGGGACTATGACCTGGGGAAATCCAATGACTTCATAGGTGAGTTTATTTTAGAAACATTGGCAGATAATAACACCCATTTTTTTCTGTTTGCTTTATTTTTTTGTAAGGTCAACTTTTCTTTTCTTCCTAACAGTCTCCTTTACCACAGCAGATGTTAGCCAAGATATTTTAGTGTTGTGAATTAGTTGCTAACATAAGTGCAGTGGAGCACTGTGTATAATTTGCAAAGTTTAGTCACCAAATGGGTGTCTGTTTTGTTTAAGCCCACCAAAGGCTACTCTGAGTAGGCGTAAGTGATAACATTTATCTGGGTTGTTCTATTTAAATCCAGTCTGATGCTTCTGCTTCCTCTAACATATTTTCGTTATAAATTCTAAAGCATAAATCAGACCTGTTGTTTTTTTATCCTTCTGAGAAAGAAGAGATAGAAAAAAGAGATAAAAAGGACAGACAACTTCAACCAAAAATGTTCCATTAAATTAGATTCAGTTTATTTATATAGCACCAATTCACAACACATGTCATCTCAAGGCACTTTACAGACACAGTTCAACCAGACTATGCATTAAAACTGATCTATCTAAGAAAAACCAGCTGATTGCATCGACTCATTGACTTGAAGGCGATCCCTCACCCCAAGCATGCTTGTAGCGACAGTGGAGAGGAAAACTCCCTTTTAACTGGACGAAACCTCCAGTTGAACCAGGCTCAGAGTGAGCGACCATCTGCTGAGGCTGATTGGGGTTCAAGGAGACAGAAGCAGACATAGAGAAAGAAGCAGAGATAGAAAATGCAACTGTCAACCAGCTCCACCGGAAGCCCTGTCCAGGAGACACACAGCCAGGCAGATGAGATCCAAATCAGTTCCCATATCAGAGGATGAAAGAGATCAGATACAGTTAGTCACAGTCAGAGAAACTGGACTACTCTGAAAAACAGACCGAGCTCAAACATCTATAAACAAAGGTGTTGATGGCAGCAGCACAGCCAATATTTCTCTCCACGATGGTGTCAAAGCCAAACCGGAACAGAACAGATGAAGCTACTATGAGAAAAGCAAAGTTTCAAATCAAAATGTTCAAAATATTTAATAATTAGCAGCTAAAAGCAGAATTCTGTCTCAGCAGATAAAGTGGAGTTTTATAAAAAAAGGTCAGAACCTGTATTGGAAAACAGTTTTCAGGTCTTCTGGGGCTTTGGTTCTAAACTTGCAGCTGTAATATATTCCTGTGATGTAGTGCATCTAATTGTGAATGCCGTACCAATCTGCATACAGCCAGCTGACAGTCATTCATGGCGTGCAATCTGTCAGCATAGGTGACAAGGGCAGCCTCTCTTGTTAATATTCAGTTCCTAATTTCTGCTTTTTTTTCTGTTCAAACTCTGCAGTTTGAACTTTAGGTGTACTGTCTTTAATTTTTAAAGAGTTTAAATCTAGATTCATTCATCCCTATTAGCCTGTGGCTTATTTGTGCAAACTGCATAACTGTTTAATGCATGAACTGACATGACCTTATCCAGGGTCAATCATAATCTAAATGCCACTAATTAAAAAACTAATCAATGACCTTTAGAAATTATTTGGTACAAGAATGGGAACTAGAAATCGATGTTGCCTAAAAGGAGGAGATATTTTCTTTGTTTTGTGACTGACCTCTTATGGGCACCAAAAGTCAGCATCTAAACCTTAATCTTTTTCACCGTCCTCTCCTAATCTGGAATATCGTGAACTTTTCTTTCATGAGAGACATATACCCCCATCATCATCTCCTTCGAAAAATAAAGAATTTTTACAAAAAAATTATCTCACAGTATAAATAAAATAAAAAGCAGATATCAGTTTAACTGCATAAACATTCAATGCTGATAGATTATTTTTAGACATCAGATAGACATATGTTTATGGTGAAAATATCTCAGCCAGGAATGCATGATGTCCAGTTTAATGAACATAATATTTAGCCGTTTTCTCCAAGTATAAAATCAAAACTTCAAAACAATATAACACTTATATAACACCTTAGATGTTATTGATGATACTATATGTAATTTTGTAATACTTAACTACAGGGAGATAATCCTAAAGTCCAGGGAATTTCTTGCTGTCTATTGGCCAGTAGGTGGCAGTGTACTGAGTGAGGTAATGCAATCTATTGAGGTAACTTATATGCTAGTACATCAGCATCCCTTTATCCCTCCATCCATCCATCCATCCATCCATCCATCCATCCATCCATCCATCCATCCATCCATCCATCCATCCATCCATGGTGCAGTACACCTGGTAGCTACTCCATCATAGGACAACAAATAAGCACAGGACCAGAGCAAATTGACAGAAACCGCAGAGATTATACAAGGTATTTTAGCTGCAATCAAAGGTAAATCCACAGCCGCTATATTTTTTAACTTGGATGTTTGGAATTAGTCTTACAGCCATTACATTCATCAGGTTTAATGGAAAAGAATCATTAATGTGAGAAAACTTCTAGATTAGACGACACTAAGTGGAATATGATTATTCAGATTGTTAGGAAAAAGAGAAATTGTTTTGGTGTTCCTAAATGACCTGAAGCAGGAACAATATTCTGCTTCTTTACATTGTGTTTAAATATCCAGTTTCAACAGTACCGTGTATTTGTTAACATATTCACAGGTCCGTGAAATCTAACTCAACTTGTCCCTCTATTCACTTTTGAAACTCTCCTTCTCTGCATCTCTCCTCTGAATAGGGGGGGTATCCTTTGGGTGCCACTCACAGGGAGATGCTTTGCAGCACTGGATCGACTGTCTGAAAAACAAGGGCACCAAGGTGGAGCGCTGGCACACCCTAACCAACGAGCTGCCGGGCTCCACCCTGCAGGAGTGAACTGGGCCTCCATCTTAGTGCTGACGCTGAAGGAAAAGCACTTGAAGTCTCGGACTGGGGGACGTTTCACCGCATGCTCTTGAGACTTTCTGCATGACTTTGATGGATTCATACCCTGCTTACTTTGTCTCAGTACTGAAAGCAGCATTCCAATCTGTACTCTAATGTTTGATCTAGAGGGACCTGACTTAAGATATTCAGACATTCATGTCTCATGAGAGAATTTAATGGCTGAGTAAAATCACCAAACTGGTTTAATCTAATTCAACAAGAAAAACCTGGAAATACTGCATGTCTGTGTGAGCAGGGAGACAGTTTTAATCATCCTGCAGTTTGACTTCCACATGGGGTCCCTCATGTCAGGCGTGCTTGCTTTTATTAAATCCTGTCAGTAATTTTCATTAACTCCTGACATTAAATCTGGACGTTAAAATCCTGCAGCGCTCACACCTCTCCCTTGCAATATCTTTTTTTTTCTCTTCCCTGATGCTTCCAGTAATTTCTAAGTGGTCTTAATCCTGTTGGTGGGTTCCAATCTATTGATCTGCCTGTCACTGGGTTGCCTTCAGATGGCCCAGTCTGATAAGATAATTAACTCTTTTAATGTTGATGGTTCCTGTGAGTTGTTTGCATGTTTGATGTTGATGGAGCTGGACCTCGTGTCGAGCTCTTCTGTTTAAAGTAAAGGGAATTTTAATCTAAATCACATTTCAATGTTTGATGTGTCAGCTCTGATATTTCTGTGTCAGGTTCTTGTCAATGCCTTTTTTTTTATATAAATGAAACAGAGGATGGTGGTTTGATTAAGCACAGAGAGTCTTTACAGCTGACAAGTGTGCATGGTTGTTGTCCGATGCATTAAATGACTTCTTCACATTTTGTTTTAAACAAAATAAGAGATAAACTGTGTTTAAAAAGTTGTACGGTATCCCTCTGTCTCTGCTGCTTGACCAAGCTGCAGGGTTGATTAGTGGTGAATTAAGGCTAACACTGCTACTAATATTGATAATACTGGTGGTGTTCATATGGAAATACATTCTGTGTTTTAGCTGTTTTGAATATTTGTCCTTTTAGGAAGTGAGCATGATTGTTGTTTGCTCTTTATAAAACATGTTTATTTATATATAAATGGTTCCAAAGTGGCCTCTGTGAATCTCTGATGTTATGCACAGCCCAGTGGCTTCCTAATAAAGCTAAATACTGCCACCTAGCCTCCTGAACCTGACACTGCAGCCTCTTCTCTGACTAAGGTGAGCAGAAAAAAAAATCTTTATTAAAAAAGAAATGTAAAAAAAACCCACTGATTATAGCACAGGTACAATAACATCAATGTAAAAAAAAAAAAAAATGCTTGAGACAGTCCATTACCAGTCCAGTGGTTAGGGCATTGAGCTTGGAATTCGGAGGTTCTGAGTTCAAGCCCCACTGCCACTGTGGCTCTCTGAGCAAAGACCCTAACCCCTGATTGCTCCTTGGGCACCGCACAATGGCAGCCCACTGCTCCCCAAGGGGTCGGTGAAGTACAGAGATAAATTTCAACAATGTGAGATCAATAAAGTTTAGTTAAGTTATTTATTTAAATATTTTGCTATTTGGTGCAACACTACAAAATACATGAAACTGAAACTTTATTTTATCATTTTAGATTGACTTTAAATGTGAATTCCAGGGCTGCAAATGTGAAGTGACACCAAAGATAATTTCTCATGAGCTTTCTTGAAATTGGGGAGTATAAGAAAACATCTAACTAAAGTAAGCAGATACATTTTAAACTTCATAAATTAGGGGATGCTTATTAGAATACAGGTAACAATTTAAACTAGAACACATTTAGAAAGAGAATTTTACAAAATTATGATTTTCTAGTTTTAGATACCACTGTAATAAAAGATTTATTTGTTTTGGGGATTTTCATACATCTTTAATAGGTTTACCAAGAAACCAAGAAGAGGCAAAATTGCAAAAAGTCTCTTTTTTTATTGATTTTGAAAGTTAGACTTGATATCATAAATTCAAATACATTTTTTCATTTCTTTCAAAAAGCAAATTTTGCTTCAGTTTTAACAAGAGTTGGAAAGTATGAGCACAGCTTTTAATATCAATCCTTGTTTATTTGGCTTGTTACCAGTGTTTGTATACTTTCACCATCAACAGTTGAGGTTATAGGACTTTGCATTTAAGGATGAAGTTTTCATGTTATCTTCATATCAAGAGTAAGGGATAAATTAAGCATGAACTTTTGGGGTGTTAGTGCTCAGTGTTACTTTGTGTATTTGGCTGCAGCTGTTCAACATAAACGTTTGTTAAAAGTTAAAATCAAAATTTCCTCAACTCCACAGAGGATCAAAAATAAACATCCTAATAAATACACCAAACAAGTTCCTAAACATTTATACGAGGGCAGAACACTTCCAGATTATTGTTTGCTTGTTTGATTTGCAGTCACTTGTGACCGACTTTCCACAAGAGAGATTGCTAACCCAGAAAGAAACTGCTGTTTCAAAAGACCCACCATCTTCGAGCTTGATTGAATTTAGCAGCTGCTGACAGTAACAATGTGCAGTAAATGCCATCTGGAAAAAGGTTTTATGTTCAGAAGTGTCAAACACTGAGCTATACGGACACAATGACAACTTTACATCTTAAAGTCTTCAGCATAAACAAAAGTGGATGTCCAGAGTAGTAACTAATCCAAAGAAAAAAACACTTCAATCTTAGGGTGGCCTTGAATTCAACTCAGATCAAAATATAATATAAGAACTTTACTTAAAAGTGTTATCTGGGCCACGAAATCAACTAATATAAATGAATCTAACCCATTCTGGATGGATGGATGGATGGATGGATGGATGGATGGATGGATGGATGGATGGATGGATGGATGGATGGA